TCCCTACACTGACTAACAGGGAAACAAGTCAAGAAACCTGATCCTAGCAAGGTGCCACTTGGGGCAAACAGTTGGTCACAGACTGAAAAAATGCCATGCATGTGGTTAACTGGCCAGCCGAAACTCCTGCCCATAGTTTCTGTCCCTTTTATAGGTCTCTGCAGCCTATTCTCTCTAAGCAATGAACAGGTACAAGTTGTAGGCAGCCACAGCTGTAGGCAGCCACATGGAAGTTCTCTGAAGTTGGCTACAAGGACAGTAATTCGAAGGCATGATTGCTTTTGGTGCAGGCAATCTACTCTAATCTCATACTCTGTTCAGCTTCTAAGAAGTTCAAGAAAATTTTCAGAGCCAGATTTGTACCATCTACATTTCAGTCTACTACTATTACAAATATCGCAAAGTTACTGGGAAATACAATCACTGCTTTTATGTACTTGGCAGTATTGTCTCACATCAGTTTCTTCTGTACTGCAGTGTTTTTCTTGAACTTTGATACATCTTCCAACACAATGAGAGAGAAGGAAAATTCTTAAACCGCGGTTTAAGTAGGGAAAAGTTATCATTAAGCCATAAAAATTGACAGAGGAACTGATATTACTTAGAAGCTCCACTGAACTCTTAGAGAAAAAGGTGATCAAGCAACACAGTGAAGAACAGTTTTTATCTCATAGAAAAATTGTGCTCTAGTTTTAGAGAAGTCTACATTAGTTTCAATTGAACTGGAAAGCTATTCCTGTTGTTTGGGATTCTAGCTGGTTTCTGCATGCAACAGGATCAAACAAAGGAAGTTTTAACTGTACAACGTTATCCTAGAATTCCTGAACAAGTATTTTCAAACACTCTTTTTAAAAAAGTACTTGGAGATTTGTGGGGAGAGAGGGGAGTAAAGACAGAATGAGAGAGAAAGAAGAAGAAAACCCATCAACTGTTTCCAGATCAGTTCCAATTTTTACTTTAAAACTACTGCTTTTACTTCAAAACTGTGAAAGCTAGACTAGGTCCCAGTTCCACTGTGAACTTTGATTTTTTCCCTGAATATGTAAAAAGAGAATAAGGATAGGACAATGCCTGGTACTGAACATTACTGGTCAGTATTTTTCGTTCACATCTTACCTATTTCAAAACATGCATTAGCACCTCTGTCCAGAAGAAGACGCACTACTGCAAAGTCAGCTACACTGGCAGCACACATCAGTGGCGTCCATCCAAACTGAAAGCTAGATTCTATGTTTATACCTGTCAAAATTTAAGATACTAAAATTATAAAACTGCACCACAATAAACATGCATTTTATAAACCTTACTCTCAATATGTATTGTTACAAAGGTTACACACTGTTTGCATTTAGTCCTAGGGAGAGAAGTCTCTTACACCATTTTCATTTTTTTAATACATGTTTATCTAGAACACCAGAAAACAACTTTTAGAACTGACACCAAGGAAGCTCTGTTCTCAATCCAAGAAGTACCACATAAAGACTACATTTAAAAAAAAAAGTAAGTAATAAATTTAGCTGTAAAAGTAAGAGAAAAAAAAAGCTGTAAAAGTTCAGAGAAGGGCACAGAATCTCTCTTTTCTCCACTTATGTGCAAGTTTTCTTCAATCAAAATTAAAAATTTTGATTCTTGCCAAGCCAAGTGGACTGCTGGGGAAGCAAATTGCTTGTCAGGCAATTAAGACCATATGGACTAGGGTTTCCCTGCTTCACAGCTCCTTTTATCCTCTGCCTTACAAGGCAGTTAACTAGCAGATACCAGTTTTGTGTTCAGTACTAACAAAATATTATCTCAATAGAAAGAAGAAACAGAAGATTATGCAATATTCAGTCACAATTACCATATTTGTTTGTTACTCTCTGTAATAGCCCTGTCTTCCTTTGTGGCTAGAAGTAAGCTTGCCAGACAGTCCTCCCAAATTCACAAAAAAACAAGTACCAGACCACGACACTCATGTGACAACTTTCCAATTAAAATCTCTCTATATTTTTGCCATAAAAGGAATCATCTTTCCTTCAATCCTTCCTCACATACTACTTCCTCTATAACAGTTTCCATCAGCTGGTTCCATATTAGTCCAACAGTGATTAGGGATAATCAAAAATACTTCTTTACAAGAGACAGCTCTGAAAAAAACAAAAACTGTCCTCAGAAATCTGTGACGGTTTAGCTACATGCATACCTTTTAATGCAAAATGTGTATTTTCCCTGCCTTGGTAGTTTGTCAAAGATGTGCTCAGTGTAGCAACACAAGTCATTAAATCTGAGGGTGTAAGAGGTCACTGCTCTTGGATTGATTCTTCAACTCTTTAAGATCACTGGAGTTGTAGAAGCAATCAGTGAAGGGGTAATGTTCAATGAAAGCCACATGCTGAAGTACTTTAACACCTCTAGCACCTGCAAGCCACAGAATTGATGATCAAACCTTCTTAGTAATGCATACATACTAGCTGCAGTCTTTAATGTCACAGCACACCCGTTTGTCTGCAGTATAAAAAACATTTCATTGAAGTCCACAGCCAAGTTCTCCAAGGGGAGCCAGCAAGGGTCTCTTAGCAGCCATACCTGAACTTCCTTATAGATGAGTCACTTCAAGAATTTAGCAAGTCCGATATCCAACAGCCCACTGAAGTAACACTAGCAGGAAAGGAATACCAGAAAGCTGTCACTCTGTCAGCCTTAAGAAGTCCCTTTTCCTCTTAAGAAGAAAAGCAGTCCATGTAACTAGAGCTCCCATCTAGACCTTTTTATTTTAATACGTATCTGAACAACCATGACAAAAGATCTATTTGGCAGGCATAGAAAGACTTATTAAAACTCTTGAGAAGGTATTTTCCTCACTGCTTTCTTTACACATATAACAGATAGTATCTGCCATGATGCTGGTGCTTGTAAGTTCTATAAGTAGAATGGTCTTTTTGGCAATGAAATGTCAAAGCTGTATTACAGCTTGTTTGTCCTCCATGGTCTCCTGCCATCTTTGTAATGACTGCCTTGAAGTACCACACAGTGTGAAAGTCACAATGCAAACCAGCTAGAGTCTCAGAGGAAGACAAAGAAAGGACAACTGAAACAGTAGCAGTCGTGTTGCTTCTTGGCTGCATGGTTATAGGAAATGTCTCCCTTTGGTTACTACTCAGACTCTCTCATTGTATGAGCTGTTCTTGAAGTAAGCAGTGTTAGTTTAGCATTTTAAAAGGCCCTTATGAAGTGCTATAAGGCAACAGTGAAGCCCAGAATAAAGATTTTAGTGAAAAATCAGGCCAGATCCAACAGCCAGAGAGAGAAAAGACTGCTGCTGCAGCTCCACACCCCTAAATCCAACCAGCGTCGATGCTGAGTGTGCATTCCCAGCAGGCACACACATACACCACCAGCCACACTGACCAACACAGACAGACAAGAGCGCTCCTGTGAACACAGACAGCACAAATACTCTCATCCTGCTGCCCTTTGGGACATATCTATCTCCTCCAGCAGTTGGCATAACAGATACACTGGCCCCTGACCCGCCGTCCCACTTTTGTGGCTGGCACATCCTTTCACTCCCTCCTGTCTCTACAGTCACCAGCACCCAGGCACAAGGGCCCTATGACAGCCCTGGGAGTCCCTTCCTCTGACTCCATAATTTGGGTTCTTGCCCACCCTTGGGCCTCTCTGCTCCTCTAGGCTTGTGGAGAAGTGCCTGTGATGGGCTGATGGCTTCCATGATGGGCCTGGGAAGAGCTGGGCCAGGGTGTTATTTGGGGTCCCCTACCTGCCATTAGCCCTCTGTGCTCCTTTGTCGGCACGAGTAGAGGAGCTTGTCAGTCACATAATCTCACAAATTATGTCTAGGAGGCAAAGCAGTACAACGCTCTTTCTTATAATCTGAGTCACAAATAAATACCTCCTCTTTAACCAGGAACAGGGAGAAATACATTCTGGCCTCAGACGAGCCCTACAGCAGAAGCTATACGAAGCATGTGAATAATGCTGAAGCAAAAGAACAGAAAAGGAAGAATTATGTTCTTTCTGTGATTACCACAGTTTCTCTGGCATCTTTTTCAGGTATTTTGTTGACTGTGGCTAATAATAGTTACGGTAGAAAGGCTGGTTTTATACAGAAAAACATAATCTCAAATTCAAAAAGGTTAACAAGGTAATGCTCGAAGAACTATGACCAACCTTGACATACAACTTTTTATGCTAAATAATTCCATGTTTGACACCAAAAACTGAGGTCTTGAAAGACTTTAATTAGTTTAAGAACAGCTCTTAGTATTAGAATCCATTCACATTCAAACCAAATTTATCTGAGGGAAAAGTTCTAAAACGCTTGATTCTAAAAGACTTCTCTCTAATAGAAGTATTGATTTCTTCTAAGTCTGTCAGCACTTTGTGCTGCAGTTCCACAACACCTTAAAGCTGAGTTACATCAGAGCTTGCTGATGTCTCCCACTGCTGGGCCAGCTATGGACTCATGGTTCAGAGTCCTAAACCGGCTGAAAAATTATTCACAGCCCCCCACACCCTCCCAGTTTACTACTACTTTAATTCCCTGAACTGGCTCGCAAAAGATCAGATGAGCTGCAGCACTTATGCAAAGATAGGAGTGGAATAGACTGGTGGATGAAAACAGGAAACGGGATTTGACTGTAGCTATATTTTTCATCAGCCTAGACTGTCATGAGGTCATAACATTTGAGGAAAATGAACATATGAATTATATGGTGTTAAGTATTTCACTCCCACAGCAGACCAAAATGCCCAAGTCATCTTTGAACCTGCTACTTGTTTGCATTACTTTTTGTGACACATCCCTCAGAAACTTGTTCTTAGTATGTTGCCATTTTGTAGGAGGGGTAAGAGAAGACATTACACTTGTCCATCTCCTAAAGGAGCTCTGTAAAACTGCCTCGGCACCAAAGATTCTTAAAGCAATGGCTAAGCAAGCCAGAAGACAACATGTTCTCTCTCAACCTGGAAGAATAGCCCCAATTGTTGCTAGGAAATCCACTTCCAACACAAACCCTGAGTTTGGTCGAGTGCTGGTAGCGAGCCTCCTACAAGCTCTACTGAACATATACTAAAGGCAATTTTGGAGGCAAAGATTTAATCTGACCAAGCACCGATCCTCTGAAGGACAATGTTACCTTTCTTCAGAAACACCTCCCTGTTAAAAGAGAGGCATTCACAGAATCACAGAAGGTTGGAAAAGCACTTTAAGATCATCAAATCCAACAAGTCCATCAAGATCATCAACCCAACACCACAATTGTGTTCTAATGCTCTGCAGGACAGTACTGGATGGGTCAAAATTTACTGTTAATCATATTTTCAGGAAATTATAGATTCTCTTGTGATACTGCCTTGCACATCTCAGGAGACAGGACACTACAGGAATCTTTGGCCTGACCTTATGTTCTTACAGATACCTATCATCATCCTCTAAAAGCATAGCACTGCTCATTATGTAGCAGGCACGAACATGGAAAGTTAACTATTGCTGTTTGACTGGAATATAAATGATTAAAAATAGATGGCTGTAACAAAACAATTAAGCAATCTGATGCACAGACATCATTAAAAACTCTATCTATAAATAAGAACATATTTTCTCAGAGCAAGACAGGAGATGTATTTCATTCAGTATTACACCTCTGTGTTTCAGGCTGTGCAATAGTTTTTACTTAATTTAAAAAGAAAACCATTCCTTCACCACGGTAAGAAACAGTCTTCTTCTAAAAGGGCAAGTAATGTCATTGTTTTAAAACTCAGAAAAAACCACTGCTAACTAGGAAACTGCTTTCTTCCAGCCGTAAGACAGATTTTCCTCAGAGAACAAGCTCTTGGCTACTATATTCTGCTTGCTTGCCGAAGCAGAACTTCCTGACAATTATCACTAGGCAGGTCAACTCAGCTATGCAGTTTTTAATTGCCCTGGATGCTTCAATAAGTGATCCAATCCTCCTGACACTGAGTAACAGAAACACATTACAGACAAATACTGAGTAACACAACCGGGAGAAAGGCTTTTTAGTGTTAAGACAAACTACTTTTTAGTGACAAATGCCACATAAACCCTATTAGACCTTTCAGAATCACAAAATCTTTGTCCAGCTGATGTTGCCAGGACAGCAGTATTACACAGGGCACATACCAGAAACTTAACAGTGCTGTGAGTAAGAAAAAAATAATGGTATTTCCAAACCGAGGGAGCATTAAAACAAAAAGCCAGCCTCCCCTTCCTGCCCCACCCCCAGCAACCTTCAACACCAAAGAAAGACCACCCACTGAACTCTCACTCTCAATTTAAACCACCTCAAATTCAATGTTTGCAATTGATATTTTCAGGTTAAAGATGCACCCGAAAACAAAGAAACACCTTATTTCATAGTTCATACATTATAGTTTTCTCAATTTTCAGGGCTATTGACAAAAGAAATATAAATTAGAAGGGATTTGCTGGAATACCACATGCTGAGTCACTGAAAAAGTAATTTCATCTTTAAAGTATTAGTTCATATCCTGTATTGGAAACATTCACATATTCCTACATGCACTCAACACATTATTTTGAAATTACAAACTTTGACGCTTTAGAATTCTTGCCAAGTTCAATTAAAAATATTCAACTTCAGAACTGACTTTCCTCACCAGAGTTTAAGAGTTCTTCAATTAATGACACATCACCACGAAACAGTGCCTTCTTTAATGCTTCATTCTTGTCCGCCTGCAACATTTGCTCCAACTGCTAGATAAGCAAATAAAAGTTAAGTCAAAATCTAGTAACTGTTTCAAGGTTAAAAACTACATCTTGATTTCAGTATAAAAGCACTAATGATCTCTGTAAGGACAATGCAGAAAGGGTGGGGGGGAGGAGCAAGGTAAAACTTTCCTTCTTCCATCTCTGTAGACCTGCTTAGGGTCTACTGTAAAACATACATTTTAAAATTCACTTTTCAAAAAGGCTCCATTCTCTGAAAATATAAATATCTCCTTTCTCAATACACCTGCTATCCTCCTATGCTGCTCGTAGTTTTTCTTAATGGTATTTTATTTCAATTAAGATTCTTTTTCATCTTATGGTGCCAGAAAAACGTTGCAACCTATTTCTGTACCTTTTTTGTACATTTCACATGTTGCAAATCAGAGCATTAAAAAATGTATCTATCAGACATTAACAGTTAGAGCCTGTGGCAACGTAGCTCAATGACTAGCTGTCTGGCTTCACACAGCACGAACCCACCGCTGGAAAGGGTTACCATTCCTCTTTCCTCCTATTCCTGTGGTGGCAGAGGTATTTGTGTTGCTGCATCATAAATGATGTGGCTGAAAAATGTCCTGGCCAAAGGACTAGTTTATGCATCAGACAGCTGCCCGATTCAAGTTCCTTTCAAAAACATCACTGATTTGTTCTCTATTAAAGCTGCAGATGCAGCTGAAGATTGCTGCTGGCATTTATCTAGACTATAAAAAACCCTTACATACACCAATAAGTGGAGGACTATTCAGTAGTTTCTTTGCAGTCAGAAATGGGTACGGAAAGAAGTCATATTTCATGATGTTTTGAAGTCATAACATGAGAACTCAGAATTCTACAATTTTCCCCAGCACACAGTAGTCCACCTTTCCAACAACTTTTGTAAAGATTTGAGTAAGTGCTTAGTGTCTAGAAAACCAAAGGTGAGAAACAGTCAATGTAATAATTTAGCCCTAGTTTTTGTTCTACTCAGACAACAATTTCCAAATAATGCATATCTTTGGATAAAAACCTCAATTTAAAGATCAAGGCCCCTGAAAAACTGATTGTAACCTTTAGCAAGAGTACTGCAAGTATCCATTTTCCAATTCCAGCCATGAGACAAACCAACAGCTAAAAAGCCTTGCAGAATCTCCCTCCACCTCACACAATCAGATGCCTCTCACGTATCAGATGCAATAAAATCACTTAAATCTTCATGTTAGCACGAAACAGCCACAGAGATTTAAGATGTAAAACTGCTTTACAGGCCTCCGGCTGCTTTCCAATTTATTCTCGTGTTGAAACAGGGACTAGGGTCTACGGAGGAGAAAAGCTTTAAATACACATTAAGGTTTAATGTAAGAAGAAAAAACCCCAAAATTTGGGTTTTATTTACTCCTCGGATGAGGGTACACCACCACTGACCTGCTAGGAATTCATCACAGAGGAGGCGCGAGTGACAGTCCCTCCCGGG